ACTTTCCACATCCTCTTTAGTTCTTCCTTCAGGCCCTGGTACTTCTCCAGCTTCTCATACTCCTTCTTCCCGATGTTGCTGTCACTTGGCACCGCTCCATCTATCACCACTGCTGTCTTCTGGTCCTTGTCTACTACCACTATGTCTGGTTGATTGGCCAATACTGTACCTGCCTATCCATCTGGATCTTGAAGTCCCACAGGATCTTAGCCTGTTATTCTCCATGACAAATTACACACACACACATGTGTGTGTGTGTGTGTAATTTAAGACTTAAGGACCTGTCTCTAAGCAGCAGTGCATCTCTGAATCTTGGATAGAGCCAATGTTTAGAAATTAGGCTTTGTTGTAAACTCTTGTACAGGTTTCCCAGACTTTTGATAGAGAAAGAACTAGTATGATCACCAATTGCTTCATCCCACTAACCATGGAGTCTCTCTCTCCCAATCTTTTTTCCTGCAATTGTTCTTAATATCAGTACAGGACCTTACCAACTATTGCTAAGCATATCTGAAACAGATCTCACTTAAAAAAGTAAATCTGCAAATTATCTCATTAAAAATGTGCCTGTGGTGGTAAGTGGTGGTTTTTATGAAATGAGAGATCAGAACAAGAAGGTAGGAAGATGCTTGTACACCACTTTGCATTCTTAGCACTGTTTTTGCTCTAATTTCTTGTCATATTCATTACTTGGGAATGAATAAATATATATGTATACGTATATAAAAAAACTCAGCTGAGATTGGGGAACCCCCAGGCAAATCTTTAACTTAAAACTGATGGAATTCTTCTTCCATTGTGCTCTAAATTAGGATGCATAACTTTTGGGGGTGGAGGGAAAGGCAAGGGCTGCACTTGGTTTTTTAGTGGCATGCTGAGGGCAACACTCCAGAAGTTAGATCAAGGATAAAAAATAAAATTGATTTCATTTAATTCAAAAGTGAATTTAATTAAGATTTTGTCGCATGTATTAAATGCAGAAATGTTCCCATGCATTTGATAGTTCTCCCCCTTCTTTCATAGTAATAATTACAGCATGTTGGCAACTTTTGAAGGGGCACATCCACTGTAGTCAAGGCTTTCAAGTGCCATGTACGGCTGCAAGGTCTCAAGCTGTGCAACTCTGCTGTATATGAAAAATGCTGTATGGCATGTTAATTGTTTATAACACTTGTAACTGTAATTCTTTAAGATACAAGTATACTTTTTTTGTCATTTCGTTTCTGATACTTTTATTAAAAAACACACACACAAATTTGAGATAAGGATACATCCCTGTTCCTTCCCTCCCCTTTCCCCCGAAAAGAAATGATGATCAGTTCTTCCTGTTGCTTTCAATTTGAGAGTGGGGGGACCAAGTCTGTTAATGTGAGGTCTAGGCTTTGTATGAATGTGTTGAATTTCATTTAATCATCATGATGGATATTGTTTTTATGAGTGCTGCTCCTCTGTTTTAGTGCTTTCATCACTTGGAAATTTTGCCAAGTCTCAACCATGAGATTAAACTGGAGTTTTTATAAAACACATTTGTGTCTCAGTGTTGTTTTGGCAATGTACATATTTACTGGGCTCTTGATGAGAACAAAGGATGTTTACTTTTATCATTTCTACTGTGGTATTCCTTACTTGATTAGTTAAACTAGGGATGGAAAACCTGTGAACTCTCCAGATGCTTCTGAAATTCAATTTTGAAAAGACCCAGTTAACATAAAAAGTGGTGAGGAATCTTGGTGAGGAATCATTCAGCAATATGGAGGGCTACAGGTTCTCCATCTTTGAACTAGCCCCAAGCATTAAGAATGTTCTTCACCATCACAGATTTTATTATACAAGATATTGTTAAGGAACCCTTTAAAGAAATTGAGAGAATGTACATTTTTATAAAAATTGTGTTTTTTTTTAAAGTTAAAGTTAAGAAGCATTCTCTTAGAACTAAGCTGGAATGTGGGAGTCTTACTTTAAAACAAGTAATCCTTTTCAAAATGGAGACCACTTCCATTTGAGTGGTTTAATCTAAGGTGGGTGACACAACTGTCTATAGAGCAGAAAATATTTGATTTTGTTTTTCAAGTGATTCACAACAAAATATAATGGTGTAGCACCATTAAGCTGCCTTTCTAGAGGGAGACCTTGTGCTCTGATTTGTGATGTAGCTGTGTAGCTAAATCCAGTTATATAGCAATGTTATTGTCCAGTTACTTACATGAGAGTGTTAATCCAGTTACTTCCATGACAATATTATGCAATCCTATGGCTTTTCTGGTCCCTTTTAGAAGAACAAAGTCATCTCATTCTCAGCTGAAAACTACTCTTTGGAGCAGATTTATACTCCAGGAAGTTGACTGAACTACTCCATGCAGCCGTCTAGGTGGCTTATGACATATAGGTGGCTCATCTGCCTTTGGGAAGCAATCAAAACATAAGAGATCACCCTGCGTCCTTTGTAACCAGTAGTTACAAACAGACTTACAATTCTTGCTGTACTTCAGCCTTGTCCATATCTACTCCTGAAAGAAAATTAGAAGAAAATCAATCTTCTATGTTTCCAAAGCAACTTGCATAAATCTAACCTTACATTTGGTAGCATCTGAATCTCATATTCTCTTACAAAGCATCTATCTTGAGTACTGTCACCACAAGCTCATGACTAGAAGGGATTTAATTCTCCGTAATCTCTCCTCCAGCTGCTTCGTTCTCAAAGCATAAATAAATACATTAATTGGGATCCTGTTTATGTCTTTAGATGCATAAAAATGAAAGGCCATTTGCATGTATTTTGACTGATATACAACAGATCTTACCTCATGCTCCCTTTCTGAAGTATTTTACTTCTAGCATTATAGTTAGAATTGCTATATAATCAGGGAGTAATCTGGTTTGTGATGGAATCAGATCTGGGCAATCTGCTAGGTCCCTGGATTTGATGGGATTCACAGCTTCACCCTCATTCCTGGGCACACAAGAAAAGATCTGGTCTGGGCAGTTGGTACTTTCACAACTGTACTGAAGAAAGAATAGTATTCGCTACATATTTTCTCCTTCTGTGAGAGGACAGACAACATATCATTGAACATTTTAGGAGGAGGTGAAGGCTCCACTGAAAAAGCAGCAATATAAAGTTGCAGGGGGATTTGGATGTTCTAGGTCTTTTGGGGGAAATTGGGAATGGGTCCTTATTTCTATATTATAGTAACGTTGAAGGCAAACTTATCATTTTCATGTGTTTTCTGTGGCAGAACTTTAGTAATAGCAGTAAAAATGTACGTGCCTGTTCAGTGTAAGTATAAAATGCACAGTAGCCTCTCCTTCAACACATTGGAAACCTAGGTAGGACACGTACAGAGTAAGTGCATAGGAGTTTGTTCTTGCCCTTTGTAAAATAGTGCATACCACATTATTCAAAAGAAATTGAACAAGTTATATCACTTAAAAAGAGCAAAAGCTGGTTTATCATGCTTTTTGGATGTTAAAGGTAAAAGCATCAGAATATTTTAAGTTGCCGTTTGAGCTGGTTAAGAAGAAATTAAATTGAAAGTTCAGGTATAGAACTTGAATAGTGACAGAGGAATGGTGGTGGGTAGAAAGCAACCTTTTGTTTCATAAAGAGTTGATTCTAATTCCTGGTCCCTAATCCATAGCCACTACATATACTATCATTTTTGCTGATCAAATGCCAGTGATGCTGACAGGAAGGAAATGCATCACATCCTTTTAGCTTTAGTAAAACCGAATCCAGAAATATTTAATTTTGGCAATAGGAAGAAATGTTAGCACTTCAAAGCAAATACAGCAGCTGCTTAATAATAAGCCAAGGGATAAAAGACAGAACCAGGGAGATAAAATAACATAGCTGAAGTTTTCTGAAAAAGGAGCATTTTCTGAAAGGCAAAAGCTGAAGTGAAGAAACAAAAAACAGATGTTGAACACATTTTCAAATGCTGAAAGAATTGGAAAAAAAAGCTTGTTTTAAAAGTGGAAAAATTAATCTCTTTCTGTCTTAGCAAATATAACATTCATTGTTCTATATTTCATTACTGTTACCTCAGGCAACTGAGGTTCACCAAATTTTGCCCAAAGAAAAACGATCAAAATCAATCCTATGTCTCTGTATGTGTCCTGGAGCATCTACAGCCTTAAACCACTTATGGTACCTTGTTAAAGAAGCCTTGTTTAAATATTATGGAAGAAATATTCTTCCAGTAAGAACTACCCAACTCTGAGATGACTGGGAAGACTGAGGTCCTATTTAGATGGGGGGGCTGGAGTTTTGTTGCAAGCAGTTGAAGGCGGCACTTGGAAAAGCAAACCAATTTGTTGAAATGCTCATGAACAGCATTAGAGCAAACATACCCATGCTTGTAGCCTCATTTGTAACATTTTTATACTTGCTGTAAGGCAGGGATTAGCAATCTTTAGGGGCTTGAAATATATGTAGAATTTTGAGAATGGCTGTGATATTCTTATAAATAATATGAAGTCAGAGGCAGGATTTTATTTATTTATTTATTTATTTGCTTTGCAGTATGAAAGCTATTATTTTGATTAAAATATTAAACATCGGGAGGGGCAGGCAATTTGCCATGTACCAATGGCAGTG